GCTAAGTTTTTATTCCTTAACTGCTGCTTCTGGAAGAGATTTCACTTCAACTTCTCAGTTCAGTATTGCTTAGAAAGATTGTTTAAGCTCTTAGTGCTTCTATTTTGGATGACAAGAATAAATGATTAGTAGTGGTGCAGAATACCCTGTGTTGCTGCAAGACTAGCAATCCAATAGTCACAAATTTACTATATTTTCTCTCAACTTTTTTTTTTTAAGCCTTAGGGCCTGGTATTTGCAATTAGAAATACTAACCTTGCAGTACATCCCACAACTCTTTGATCTCATGTCAACAGCTCTGTCTGATCTTTAAATAATTATTTTAGGATGATCTTCAAGTTCCTGATTTTGTTTTGTTTTGTTTTCCACCTGAAGCATTCCAGTATGTGTTCTTGAATTATCTGTCTTTGAATAAATGGTGTTTCCATTCCCAGGGGGGGAAAAAAAAGTGACAAACAAGAGGCCCTAAAGCCCTTTATTAGAATTGTGTTAAGAAAAAATGGGAAATTCAGAGTCTTATAAATGAAAGTAGGTTTCTGGAGTGGACAGAGGAAAAGCACCTTATGGTGTATCTGGATCTATTTCTCAAAGGCTTTGAAGGTTATAATTAGTTGCTACTGAATCACATGGCTGTGGGGCTTCCACAGCTTTATTTCTGGTCTACAGAACTTCAGTCTGAGAACAGGTTAGATCCAGGCAGGGCCTGTGCATTTTCATTCTCTCGCTTCCTGGAGACCACTAGAACTTTGATTTGAGGACCACCTCATACTCCTGCCATCAAGCATAGAAAGCAGTGTCCGCCAAGCTGACTTGGACCAGGGTTGATGATGGCAGGCTTGTGAGAATGCTGTGAAATGTCAAGAACACTTCCCTGTGCCAGCTCCATCTGAGCAGTGAGTTGGAAGGACACATGAAGCTGTGGCTTTTCTGCTTTCTTCATCCCAGGTGGAAAAACTGAGGTGTAACTGACCCCTGGAATTCTGAGCAGAGAAAGTGGGTGGGCAGGCTGTGCCAGTGCACACTGGTGTTCTTGAGGTGGAAAACGAGCGGCTTGTGTCCATAGTGCCTTTCCACAGTTCTAATATGTATGTTCTGAAACCTTAGCATATTGCTAGGTGTTTAAATATATCAAGAGTTTGTCAAACATGGATGGTTAAAGTTGGGATTTCCCATCAAAACCCCATGTTTTGAAATCTGCAGACTGTAAGTGTAAACTGGAACAAACCAGGCACCAAAAATAAGTAATTAGAAGAATAGCAAATAATTAGGAGCCTAGAGCTTTTATTGTTGTTTAAAGGAGCAGTCACAAGGAGGTCTAGCTTTCTGTAGAATGAATTCACTTTCACCTTGCAGCCATTATCATGGGTAGTGAGTGCTTCAAGTGTAGTTGTCTAAAGGAATTCTGTTTGACCTTGAGGGGCCTGGAGATAATGCAAGGGGCTTGGCACAGAGGAGGGACCCATTTGATTTGTAGATTGATCTCATGACCTTTTAAAAATAGCATTTCTTTTTAGGTAGATCAGAAACTTCCTCTTCTGCTTTGATTTTCCTGATTTGGTAAGTGAGAAAAAATATGGCTAATCTCATAATGACAGTATTATGAAATGAAGTATGTAGCTGTGAGAGCAAAGCTCTTAACTTTAAATCATGATTTTATATCCAGTATCTTGGTTAACCTCTTAGGCTTGCTGCTCTTCTGAGCAAACTACACAGTCAAATACACAAGGTCTCATCTCTCGTCTTTTTTGGTTTCTTAGAGGATTATCTTCCCCTGCAAAAGCATACTTTCTGGTTGATGGATGGGGTGGTCTTCCCCGAGTCCAGTGTTCTCTGTATCTACCCTTCTCTATTCTCTTCCTCTCCTCTTACTTTTGCTTTATGCACTGCCAAGCATCCAAGTCTCATAAACATATCAAGTTTCTGTTTGATTGTTTGGGTCATGCCAGCAATTTATGTTTTCTTCTTCTGTCAGCGTCTTCAGGAGAAATGCGCGCACAAAGGCAAAATGGCTTTCAAAGTAGGCTACATCCTCGTTTCAGTATTGGTGCCGGCATCAAATTGAGGGTCATTCAGCTCTACCTGCTGCTGGTTCTCTCTGCAGCCTGGAGATTAACCTCTTCTAAGGCTTTGAGCTATTTTTGAGGTTGAGACTGCAACAACATTAAAGCTAGAACCCATTAGAAAATCACTTTCATCATGTCTTATTTTTTTCCATATCAGTGGCTCTTTTTCTGGTCTCCTAACCCTTTAATCTCCTTTGTAGCAGACAAGGAGATTGTTAATTTGCGTTTGTATCCAGTGGAGTTAGCATCCTTGATAAGAGCTTTAGAGGATACCAAGATACTAAAGAACTGAATTGTGAGATGGCATCTTCTCTTCAGGTGGATGACTGAATGCTGAAGGTACCCGTGTTCCTTGTTCACGACCATAATTTATGTTGATACTGTGCAAACCAGGCAGGCTCGGGCTTTCCAAAAGACACACAGCAGAAAGCCTTTTGTTGTATTATTTCTAAAGACTCAAAGATTTGAAGGGAAGAGATTTTGTTTTCCTCCAAGCTACACAATGGAGCTTTCAGAGAACCTCTTTTAAAAGGAATAGCTACAGCCTTTGTGTTGAAGGGTGTGTCTGTTGGCTGGGTCTGCCGATGCAGACAGACTGGCTGGTGATTAACAAAGGTCATTAGACTTTGGAATCTGGCGAGCAGCATCGGATGGTATGTCTTCTGTGTGTGGAAGGATGACTCCCAAGAAGCCAAGGCTTCTGGAGGTCCCCTTAAAACACCCCCAAATCTTGCTATAGAGCAGTGTCTGGTCCTGGGTCACCCTGTTCTAACTACTGCTCTGCTGGAACTAACAAACCAGCATATCAATCATGGAATAAAAGAACTTTTGGAGATCTTGGTGAATGACATTTGAGGAGGAGAAAGGTGCTGCTTTTCAGAAAGAAATGAAAACAGTTCATTCTTTGTTGGGAAGAGAAGAGCAGAAGAGAAGCCCAGTCTGCCCCTCTAGCACTCACTTCTGATTGTCAGCCTTGCAGAATCCAAGAGAAGCCATGTTGTGCACGGAGGAGAAGCTCTGAGCTAAAATGGCTGCTCCTAAAGCTCAGAGGACTAGGGCAGCTTAGTGAGTCTTAGAGCTTCAGTGACGCAGGAGCTCCTATCTCTTGAAAGTGTGATAAACACATTCAGCAGAGCTGTGGCTTGTTTGGCTGAGATGAAAGGACTAAGCTTGGGGGATGGGGAGTGCACACTGGATGATCTGCTTTTTTCTGTAAAGTGTTCTAAATGCAGGAGTCGTCTGCACCATGGAAAAATTTGTTTTCAGGTCTAATGGACTGTGCGAAAGGAGAAGTGGGGTGGGGCCTCAGTGGCTGCTGTAATTTGATCCAGAGCTGATAGCAACCTCTTCCACACAATTTGGGTTGGTGCTTAGACATAAAAGCTTTGTGTATCTGGAATATTGAGACTTAGTTAGCTGAAAGGACTCTGGTGCAGAGTTCAGTGTTTATTGAAAAAGGAAAAATTGCTGGGTGAAAGAAGAGGAGGTAAATATCTGCGTCTCACTTTGCAAGCTCAGGCTGTCCAGAGCTGGACTTGCGAGAAGTTATTTTAGCAGGCTACCAGGAGGAGCATTCTTTCATAGAAAATCCTCATGCATGGCTCCTTGCACTGCATCGACGGATTACTAGTGAGCTTCATTCTTCTGTAGAAATAATCACTTTTATAAGAAAAGTGTAGAAAACTGCATCATAAAATAGATTTGGCTATAGCTTTAATTCTTGGACATCTGGTTCTAGGTTACAATGACTCACTTGAGTTTGTGGTGAGCTTAATGAGGTAACTCATTCATTAAGATAATAACTGGGTGGCTCAATGCGGGAGATATATTTAGATAGGAAGGACTACACACCTTTCTAATACCTTATTGACTTCTTAATGGTGGAACTGTCTCCACTGGGTTACTGTGAAGATTTCTGAATATTTCAGTCATGTAAGTAGCAAAATGAAGGTAGTTGGGCAAATTTTGTTTTACAGCACACCAGGTTCATAGCTTTTTGCATCTGACTACATGTCATGTTTGTGAAGGAAAGAAATAGAAAAGGCTGTAGTTAGAACTTAGAAGCCCTTCTTCAAACCTGCCAGCACAGCTTTGGTTGTCTTAATGTAAATTGAAGTGTCAAGGTACACCTTTAAACTGGAAACTGGATTGTCATCTAACATTGGTTGTTTGAAAGCCTCAAGAGAAATATTTTATGACCTAATTAGATTGGAGAAGCTGTTAGATTTTAATTGGTAGGTAGTAAAAGAGCAAATAACCATTTAGCAGTGAGAGAGAAAGAGACAGAGAGAGAGAGAGAGAGAGAGAGAGAGAGAGAGAGAGAGAGAGAGAGAGGAATGAGAATTAACTAAAACTTTGTGGAAGAGAGAAAAAGGTATACTCCAGTATCAGTAAAGGTATTAAAGATAATAAAAATCAACAATAAAAGCCCTCTACCACCACTCTTCAATCCTATCTACCATTTCTTGATAAAACACCAATGTATAACATTAAAACACTCATGCGAATTGAAATTTGTCCTTTTTTCTGTATTGATACCTTCTTCTGAGAACATTCTAGTTGAAAATGAAAATGAGTTCAAGGCCAAATGAAAGCCAATAATAAGTTATCAAGAAACATGAATTTAGTGGAGAAACTCAGATACTGCTAAAACTTTTGAAATAGTAAGGATTTCCTTGACAAGAAACATTTGAAGATGCATCAAGCCGGAAAATATTTATCTGGGTTTTCTTTTCTTCTTTGAAGTTTTGTGGTCAAGGCCATTGTCTCTGTTATATCTGATTGCCTTTCTTTGGCCAGTGTTCCAGTTGGCAAAGCCAAATAAAAGAAATAGGCTGATGTTAGAAGTATTTCCATTCCTGAATGTGTAGCCCCTTCAGCCTGAGGTCTGTGACCCATCTTGTGACTTCTGACACTGTCTTGTGACTTCTCCCCCAGGTTCCTAATGTGAGAGGGTAGTCCCAGATCATGGAGGTGTTGCAGTGTGATGGCTGTGATTTCAGAGCCCCCTCTTATGAAGATCTCAAGGCACATATCCAGGATGTCCACACAGCATTTCTGCAGCCAACTGATGTTGCTGAGGACAATGACAGTGAGCCACGATCCGGGTCCATGAATGCCAGTAATCAGACCGAGGTGGAGTTTTCTTCTATAAAGGATGAATTTGTGATCGCAGAGGATTTATCAGGTAAATCTATCCTAAGCTCAGCATATCTGATATATTTTAATTAGCCTCACTTATTTTTAGCCTGTAGCTGTGGTTCTTGATGTGTGTGGCTTCTACAGTTTCTTGCTCTCTGCAAGCTATTTCTTGTTGTCTGGGCATCGTTTTTCTCTTCTTGAGTCTCCTAGGTTATTATCTTTTCTGCTTGCTAGTGTCTCCTACTTTTCATTTTGAGAACAAAATAATATCTTAGAAAGTTATAGAATAAATACTGCAGTTTATGAACCTTGTATCTTCCTTCATAGCTATGAAGCTCATTTATGGAGATGTTGAGAGTATTGTAACTAAAGCTATACACTGCATTTTTACCAGGGAGAAGGTATAATACTTGTGTGTTTATCAGTGCTTCAGGAATACTCTTAAGGATTGTGTCTTAAGACTTTAGGCCGTTGAATGTGATGTTTATTAATGAAGAATAATTGGAATGGTACTGATTTGCATGATTGAATTTCTTCATTCTCTCTTGCTTTCCTTTTCTTCTTACTTTTCTCCTGTATTCTCTTTAGGTCAAAATGCAGCTGCATTGGGGACCGGAAGTTACTATGGCCACAGTCCAGGATATTACGGTCAGCATATTGCCCCTAATCCCAAACCAACAAACAAGTTTTTTCAATGCAAGTTCTGCGTACGCTACTTCAGGTCAAAAAACCTCCTCATAGAACACACTAGGAAGGTGCATGGAGCCCAAGCTGAAGGGAGTTCAGCAGGACCCCCTGTCCCAGGATCCTTAAATTATAATATCATGATGCATGAGGGATTTGGAAAGGTCTTCTCTTGCCAGTTTTGCACATACAAGTCTCCAAGGAGGGCAAGAATAATTAAGCATCAGAAGATGTATCACAAAAACAATTTGAAGGAGACCACAGCTCCTCCACCTGCTCCTGCTCCTATGCCAGATGCCGTGGTTCCACCCATGTCTCTGCAAGACCCCTGCAAGGAACTGCCAGCAGAGGTCGTGGAGCGTAGTATATTAGAATCCATGGTCAAACCTTTGACCAAGTCTAGAGGCAACTTCTGCTGTGAGTGGTGCAGCTACCAGACCCCCCGCCGAGAACGCTGGTGTGACCACATGATGAAGAAACACCGTAGTATGGTCAAGATACTTTCCAGTCTCCGACAGCAACAAGAAGGGACTAATCTACCTGATGCACAGAATAAAGGTGCCGCCAGTCCCACGTCCAACTCTACGTATTTGTCCATGAATGCTGCAAACCGGGAGATCCCCAACACTAACGTCTCCAACTTCAGGGCCTCCTCTGGCAACTCCATCATGAGACCCAATTCTTCTTCAGTTTCCAAATTTTCGCCCATGTCTTACCCCCAGATGAAGCCGAAGTCACCTCATAATTCTGGCCTCATTAACTTGCCAGAGAGATCCCGCTATGGAATGACTGACATGACCAATTCTTCTGCTGACCTGGAAACTAACAGCATGCTAAATGACTCTAGTTCTGATGACGAGTTAAATGAAATAGACAGTGAGAACGGCTTAAATTCTATGGATCACCAGACATCAGCCCTATCTGCAGAACAGCTGATGGGTTCAGATGGCAACAAATTACTGGAGACCAAGGGAATTCCATTTAGAAGATTCATGAATAGGTTCCAGTGCCCCTTTTGTCCTTTCCTCACCATGCATCGACGTAGCATCTCTCGTCACATTGAAAACATCCACTTATCTGGAAAGACAGCTGTCTACAAATGTGATGAATGTCCGTTTACTTGCAAGAGCTCATTAAAACTTGGGGCTCATAAACAGTGTCACACGGGTACAACATCAGACTGGGATGCTGTGAACTCGCAGGGTGAAAGCCTTTCCTCTTCACTGAATGAAAGTGTGGTGTCTTACGAGAGCTCAAGCATCAATGGCAGAAAGTCAGGAGTCATGTTGGATCCTTTGCAGCAGCAACAGCCACCGCCACCGCCACCGCCACCACCACTGCCCTCACAGCCACTGCAGCAGCCACAGCCACCCCAACTCCAGCCACCACATCAGGTGCCACCCCAGCCACAGCCACCACCGACACAACCACCGCAGCCACCCACTCAAGCCCCCCCCTTGCACCCCTACAAGTGCACCATGTGTAATTACTCCACCACGACTCTGAAAGGGCTAAGAGTCCATCAGCAGCACAAACACTCGTTTTGTGACAACTTGCCAAAATTTGAGGGGCAGCCCTCAAACCTACCACTGGAAAATGAGACAGACAGCCACCCCTCTTCCAGCAACACTGTGAAGAAAAGTCAGACCTCAATTCTTGGATTATCCTCCAAGAACAACTTTGTAGCTAAGGCCTCGAGGAAGCTTGCTAACGACTTTCCTCTCGATTTATCACCCGTGAAGAAAAGAACTAGGATCGACGAGATAGCAAGCAACCTGCAGAGCAAAATTAACCAAACCAAACAGCAGGAAGATGCAGTGATCAATGTGGAGGACGATGAGGAGGAAGAGGAAGACAATGAAGTGGAGATAGAGGTGGAGTTGGACAGGGAGGAGGAGCCCACAGAGCCTATGCTGGAGGTTCCCACTGCCTTTGCAGCCCAGCAGATTTGGGTCAGAGATGCAAGTGAGCCCCAGAAGGAGCCCAACTTCAGAAGTGTCACCCATGACTACAATGCTACCAACGGGGCTGAGATTGAGCTCACCCTTTCTGAAGATGAAGAGGATTATTATGGCTCCTCAACAAACATGAAAGATCATCAAGTTTCCAACACTACATTGCTGAATACCCAAACTCCTATCTATGGAACTGAGCACAACAGTGAAAATACAGACTTTGGCGACTCTGGAAGGCTCTACTATTGCAAACACTGTGACTTTAACAACAAATCTGCCCGGAGTGTGAGCACTCACTACCAACGAATGCACCCATACATTAAGTTCAGCTTTAGGTATATCTTGGACCCCAATGACCACAGCGCAGTGTATAGGTGCTTGGAATGCTATATCGATTACACGAATTTTGAAGATCTCCAGCAGCATTATGGTGAACATCACCCAGAAGCCATGAATGTCCTCAACTTTGATCATTCGGACCTGATATACCGGTGTCGGTTTTGTTCCTACACAAGCCCCAATGTTAGAAGCCTGATGCCACATTACCAAAGAATGCATCCCACAGTTAAGATCAACAACGCAATGATATTTTCAAGCTATGTTGTGGAGCAGCAGGAAGGGCTAAACACCGAATCCCAGACCTTGAGAGAGATTCTGAATTCGGCTCCCAAGAACATGGCAACATCCACTCCCGTGGGTCGCGGTGGTGGTATGCCAGCCACGTTTAATAAAAGCACTCCTTCAAAGACCTTTACTCCAGAATGTGAAAACCAGAAGGACCCTTCAGTCAACACCGTTGTCGTTTACGATTGTGACGTTTGCTCATTCGCGAGCCCCAACATGCATTCTGTCTTGGTTCATTATCAGAAGAAACACCCTGAAGAAAAGGCCTCCTACTTTAGGATCCAGAAAACCATGCGCATGGTGTCTGTGGACAGGGGCTCTGCCCTTTCCCAATTATCATTTGAGGTGGGTGCTCCAATGTCTCCCAAAATGTCCAACATGGGTTCCCCACCCCCCCCACAACCCCCGCCACCAGACCTCAGTACTGAGCTTTACTACTGCAAACACTGTTCCTACAGCAATCGGTCAGTTGTGGGAGTGCTTGTTCACTACCAGAAAAGACACCCAGAAATAAAGGTTACTGCCAAATATATCAGGCAGGCTCCTCCCACATCTGCAATGATGAGAGGGGCCGACGGGCCACAAGGCTCCCCCCGGCCTCCTGCCCCCATGCAACAGCTGAACCGGAGCAGTTCTGAGAGAGATGGCCCTCCTGTGGAGAATGAGATGTTCTTTTGCCAGCACTGTGATTATGGAAACCGGACGGTCAAAGGGGTACTCATTCATTATCAGAAGAAGCACCGAGACTTCAAGGCCAATGCAGATGTGATCCGGCAGCACACAGCCACCATCCGAAGCCTCTGCGACCGCAACCAGAAGAAGCCTGCCAGTTGTGTCCTTCTCCCCACCTCTGGTGTGGAGCGGGATAAAACGAAACTCCGAGCACTCAAGTGTAAGCAGTGCTCATATACCTCCCCCTACTTCTATGCACTGAGGAAGCATATTAAGAAAGACCACCCTGCCCTGAAGGCCACGGTCACGTCCATCATGCGATGGGCATTTTTAGATGGCTTGATAGAAGCTGGCTACCACTGTGAGTGGTGCATCTATTCCCACCCAGAGCCCAATGGTTTGCTTTTGCATTACCAAAGGAGGCATCCAGAGCATTATGTTGATTATACATACATGGCTACCAAACTCTGGGCTGGGCCAGACCCATCCCCGCCCTCTCTCACCATGCCAGCTGAAGCCAAAACATACAGATGTAGGGACTGTGTTTTTGAAGCAGTGTCCATCTGGGACATCACTAATCATTACCAAGCATTCCATCCCTGGGCCATGAATGGTGATGAGTCGGTGCTGCTGGACATCATCAAGGAGAAGGACGGTGTTGAGAATCCCCTCCTACCACCTGAAGAGTTGGCAGGCCCTATGAATTGTGAAAATAGTATGCCCATCCCCCTCCCCGAGCAGGAAGTGGAATGCTCAGAGGATGCAAGACTTTCCCCAGAGAAAAGCATACACCTCAGTTCAGCCAACCCCGCAATATCCTCCACCCCCTACCAGTGCACAGTGTGCCAGTCCGAGTATAACAACCTGCATGGCCTCCTCACTCATTATGGGAAGAAGCACCCTGGCATGAAAGTGAAGGCTGCTGATTTTGCCCAGGACATCGACATCAACCCAGGTGCCGTCTACAAATGCAGGCATTGTCCATATATCAACACTCGTATCCACGGTGTCTTGACCCACTACCAGAAGCGACACCCAGCCATCAAGGTGACTGCCGAGGATTTTGTGCATGACGTGGAGCAGTCTGCCGACATTTCCCAGAACGATGTGGAGGAGACGAGCAGGATTTTCAAGCAAGGGTATGGCGCCTACCGGTGCAAACTGTGTCCATACACACACGGCACTTTGGAGAAACTCAAAATCCACTATGAGAAGTACCACAATCAGCCTGAATTTGATGTCTTTTCCCCCTCGCCCCCGAAGCTGCCAGTATCCCTTGAGCCCGAGATAACCACTGAAGTGAGCCCCTCCCAAATCTCCTTGACTGAGGAGGAGGTGGGAGAGGAGCCTGTGTCCACGTCTCACTTCTCTACCTCGCACCTGGTCTCCCACACTGTGTTCCGGTGCCAGCTCTGCAAGTACTTCTGCTCCACGAGGAAGGGGATCGCCAGGCACTACCGGATCAAGCACAACAACGTCCGCGCCCAGCCCGAGGGCAAGAACAACCTCTTCAAGTGTGCCCTGTGTGCCTACACCAACCCTATTCGCAAGGGGTTGGCAGCCCACTACCAGAAGCGTCACGACATCGATGCCTATTATACGCACTGCCTGGCAGCCTCCCGGACCATCAGCGACAAGCCCAACAAGGTGATCATCCCATCCCCGCCCAAGGATGACTCCCCACAGCTGAGCGAGGAACTCCGGCGGGCTGTGGAGAAGAAAAAGTGCTCCTTGTGCTCGTTCCAGTCATTCAGCAAGAAGGGTATTGTGTCCCATTACATGAAGCGCCACCCGGGGGTATTCCCAAAGAAGCAGCACTCCAGCAAGTTGGGGGGCTACTTCACAGCCGTCTACGCAGATGAGCACGAGAAGCCCACACTGATGGAGGAAGAGGAAAGAGGCAGCTTTGAGAAAGCCGAGGTGGAGGGTGAAGCTCAGGAAATTGAGTGGCTCCCGTTTCGCTGCATCAAGTGCTTCAAGCTGTCCTTCAGCACCGCGGAGCTGCTGTGCATGCATTACACTGACCACCACAGCCGGGACCTAAAGAGGGACTTTGTCATCCTGGGCAGCGGCCCCCGCTTGCAGAACTCCACCTACCAGTGTAAGCACTGTGATAGCAAATTGCAAAGCACAGCCGAGCTGACCTCACACTTGAACATTCACAATGAGGAATTCCAGAAGCGTGCCAAACGTCAGGAGAGGAGGAAACAGCTTTTGAGCAAGCAGAAATATGCAGATGGTGCTTTTGCAGATTTCAAACAAGAGAGGGTAAGGATATGTTTTGATTTCCCTTCCCCCAGGAGGCCTCTCATCACTGGTGCCCACACGCACTTCTTCGTTGCCAGCCAAACTGCTGCAGGCTTCCTAGTGACTTAGCTTGCCAGAGAGCTCAATAAGTCAATTAAACATTTCGAGCTTGATTATCCCCCATTCTATGCTCGCCCTCTCCACGGTCCTGTTCCCCTCCCTCTCTCCCTCTGACTCCTCCCATGGCTCCCCAGGGAAGGTTTGGGGTGGTTTCTATGTATGTCTTTCTGCCAAGTAGCCTGATCTCAAGCCTTGTTATACAACAACGCCCGCTCTTTCCTAAGGCAGTCGTGGCTGTCTCTTGGTATCATTAGCACTGCTCAGCCATGTCCTGGTCTTCAGTGTTTGCCACAGGAACCTAACATCTCAAGGAGTAGATTATTTTATCAAGAAGTTCATTAATGGCGCAGCTGTGCAACGCTTCCCCTGCGTCGCTGAAACTGGTTTGAAAACCAGATAACTTAGTGGCCGTGACTGTGAGCTTCTTTCTGCACAGAAACCTTCTCTACTCACAAGCCGTAACATACCTGGGTTCCACAGACTGTGTCTGACAGGCAGTGTGCCGTGACCGATCAGTTGGTACTTAAAAAGTATTCGCCTCTATCTCCCTTGGTTTTTCACCTGCTAATCTGCTTTAACATAATATATGCCAGTATATAATAAATTATATATGCCAGTGTATAATAAATGCCTGCCTTTGAGGGAGGGCCTGGAGTACTGATGGCTACCACTGTATTTTACCAGCCTTTTGGTCACTTAGAAGAGGTGCCAAAGATCAAGGAGAGGAAAGTGGTGGGCTACAAATGTAAATTCTGTGTGGAAGTGCACCCAACGCTCCGAGCCATCTGCAATCACCTCCGCAAGCACGTCCAGTACGGCAGCGTCCCAGCCATGTCGGCTGCCGTGAAGGTGAGAACGGGAGCTGTGGATGCCGATCTTGTGAGTGAGCGCCTCGAGTTCCTTATTAACCCCATTGCTTAAAGCAGCTCGGGAGGACCGTGTCAGAGTGCAGCTGTCCCTGAGCCACATTTGCATCGGTTGGGCGTGTTTTGATTTTCTTTTTCTTGCAGGTTGGATCTTCCTCACCTTTCTGTCCAGGTAAAGGTCAACTTTTGGTCTTGTTTCCATCTCATATGGACAGTTTGGTGGACACAGAAGGTCCCGGATTCTCAGCACAAGAAGCGTTGGGTCACCCTTTTATTCTGCTTAGTGCCATTATGTCTTAGTTCTTCCAAGTTGCCTGAATTCAAAAGGGATCCAGCGGGTTCTGCTCCTGTCATCCGCTCCTCCCACTGCCTTATGGTTACTATTCTCATGTTGCTGAGGACTCAGAGAGCCCAGCAGAAAGTCTTTTGCTTTTTATCTTGGGATATCTAGAGAGTTAAGGGGCACTAAAACCAAAACCTTTCAAGTCACACGTGACCCTCACCTTTCCTTGACCTTGCTTGTCTGCTCCCTTTCCACTCCCCACGTGATTCAGCCACGTGTCTTCCTTCTCCCCAACCTTGATTAGAAGACTATTTTGAATGTCCAAATCTGAGTGGCAGTCATTGTTCATCCAGAATAATGAAGGCAACTGCACTGAAGACTGGAGTCTTGCATCTGGGCAGAACAGTTGCAGGCTGGGGACAGCAGTAGGAGTTTCTTCCACCTACCCTTGCAGTGTGCCTAGGCTTGTTTCCTGGAATCGGGCAAGAGAAAAATCACAATTCTAAGGGGCTACTTTGGAAAATGGTGGCTTCGAACCAGGCTGCTATTTCACATTTGCTGTTAATTATGCCGCAGCCTTCAGTCAAGGAGTGAAGTCAACAAGAATGGGGTGGGAGGCAGACAGCAGAATCCTTTCCTTTGCGTCATTTCCAAATGATGGCCCAAGGCTCCTGTGTGGCCAACCCACTCTGCGATGTTGTCTTCCTCCTTTCCTTTCTATGTGCCATAATACTGTAACCCAACTTGATGTCAGTTTACACAAGATCACAATTTGATTTTTCTTTTTAAAACCAGGAACAAGTAGCCTGTTGCAGATTGAGAGAGTCCCTCTCCCGGGCAGTCATAAAATGTGTCCAGATATGTTCCCCTAATGTCACCACCCTTGCATGAAGAATGGCAGTCTGGCTTACCCTTGCTTTAGGAGGAGCCAGAGAGGCAGGGGCGGAAGCATTGACGAGAAATGCTGATGATCTTGGGAGAATGCAGGGAGAAGAGGAGAGCTGGGTTCGATGATGATGGATATTTATTTTGTTGGTGGGGCATGTGTGTGTGTGTGGTTCTCTTAGCAGGAGGCTGAAGACCCTTCCCACTTCTTCCTGGATGGACTGGAAGCCGCCAAAGATGCCAGTGGAGCCCTGGTGGGCCGGGTGGATGGTGGACACTGCTTGCTTGATGGAATGTTGGAGGATGAAACCCGGCCGGGGGGATACCATTGCAGTCAATGTGACAGAGTCCTGATGTCCATGCAGGGGCTGCGTTCTCATGAGAGGAGCCACCTGGCCCTGGCCATGTTTACCCGAGAGGACAAGTACAGCTGCCAGTATTGCTCCTTTGTTTCTGCTTTCAGGCACAAGTAAGTGTTATTGGGTGGTCCCTGGGGGTTCCTGGGAGAAGGTTTCGTAGTAGAAGGCAGCTCAGGTACAGTAGAGAAGCTTGGATGAGTAAGAAGGCCCCACTGTTGGCTCATACCTGGTGCTCTATTGTGTGAATTCTCAGTCGACTGATCTGTAAAATGGGGCTAAGAATGGGTGTGACTGATGGCATTAGATTGGGTAAGCAGGCTTTTTTAAAAAAAGAAGAACTGGAAGAAGTGCTATGATTTTCCCTAAGGAGCAGCTGCAGGTCACAAATGACCTTACTGATGGATATGCCAATCATTCAGCCAAAACTTGGCCATTGTTTGAGGGAATAGCATTCATGTGAAAAATGAATTTGCTAAGAAATAAATTAGGACTATTTATATGATTAATCATTGCGTGAGATTTAAAAAATGACATTGGAAATGTGACAAAGTTTATAGAAACTAAAAAGACAAGAAAAGAAAAAAGACAAGACAAGGAAATGGAGAAGTAGGAACTTGTCACTTCCCACAGTGCATGTCCATCTGGGGTAAGAGTGTAAATTTCATGGAGTGAGGGGACACGGGGCTGCTCAAAGAAGCCATGTTTTGTTATATAAAAAGGATAAATATTTAATAAAGCATTCCCACAGCCTGGGAGAAGGCAACTGATTTCCAGATTGATGTGCTGCTTATTTCTACGGTAATTGAAAGTAAATGATGGGCTGTTTGCTTCTTTAAAAAGATAAAGGGCTAGTTAATAGTTGTTGAAAAGCAGAAGGCAGTGTTTCTAGAGAGGCTAGGATAGATTACAGACTTTCATTAAACGGAGCCCAATATCTCATCTACAACCTCATGTTCATATATTGGTGTACAACTTGTACTTTCCCTTCCATCCACTAAGTATTTTTTGGACAGCATATGTCGCATCGTCTGGCATGTAGTGGAACTCATGTGAATAAAGGAACATACCCTGCCCTGGGCACTTTACTTTGGGGCAATATAAACGTGAATAGGACTACTCTGTTATCTGAGGGGATTTAGAGCCTAGGATTGCTTTCTAAAAGAAACAGACAAATGAGGCACACTTGTTAAAGAAAACAAACTGAAGAGCAGTTTCAACGAAGGGAAATGTTGCATCCACTTTGGAAGAGTCCAAAAGGCTCTGTGGAGTACAGAGCATCTGCGTCAACTCCTAAAGTAGGAAGATAAGACTTGAGTAGGTTGAAAAGGAACTGCGTTGTGGAGAAAAGACAGGCGTCAAGTTGAGGAGGATGTGCTTGTGCTCCTCACTGGGGCCTCGCTGGTGGCTCAAGGTAACCGATTCCTAAGATACATATAAAGAAATGGCAGAAAATGAGGTCTGAATACTTGAATAGAAACTTTCTCAAGTCTTAAAATGCCAAATTAAAAAAAAAAAAAAAAATAGGGACCAGGGAGATAGCTCAGCAGCATAAATGCCTGCCTGGCAAGCTCAAGGTCCCAAGTTCAATCCCTTGTACCACAAAAAAAAGAAGTATGGACTGAGTACAAGAACATAATTTCTAATGTTACGTGCACTTCAATCTATACCAGGCATTGTGCTAAATGTCTTCAAATACTACTTTTGTACATTCTCAAAACAGCCTGTGAGGTACAGTTCTAGAGCTTCATTTTACAGACAAGAAAAGCAAACTCTAAAGGAGTTAAGCAACTTGCCCAAGGTCGCAACACTTGTAAGTAATGGCTGGGGTTTGATCCTGACCAGTGTGACTCTTTTTCACTTTTCAATTGAAAAAAGATGGAGAGATCAACTCAGAAGCCATGGCAATATCCAAGACAGCAAAGCTTGGTGGAGAGATGAGTTGGCTTGATTTAGAATTGATCTAATGTGTGGGTTGAAGGAATAAAATGAAATAGTTTTCAGTCTGTTTGAATAGAAGAATGATAGTGCTATTTATAGAAATAGTGGAATGAAGAAGAGAATTTGAATTGCTAAAAGAAAAACGACAGGTTTGTATAGCACAGGTTGTTTAAGATGGCTAAAGGACATCAGATGGAGATGTCCAGAGGCAGCTGAAAGGGGTTCTTTGCAGCTCAGGAGGGTGTTGCTTGTGTAAGTGGTAAGCAATCACACTCTCTTTTAAGTCACTTAGAGTGGAATGCAGTTCTCTGGGGCACTGATACAGATTGGAACTACTTCCTGTACTTTGATAAATTCATTACTTTGTAGGCTAATAATTATTATGAAGTACTGGAAGGGTCATTGTAATTAAATAACATCCTCATTAGTCATTTTTAGAAGGCCGATGTACCACAGAGGTGGTTGTGTGGATCGGGCGGGATGACCAGGCTCTTGACCACGTGACTCCTCCTTTACACACACTTGCACTGCGCCTCCACGTTCCTGTAGATGCTGGGAATAAGGCAGCTCGCTCCCAGCAGGTCAGCCGGAAACCTTCTTGCTTTACTCTGGTGTTCTCAATAATAATAGAACTAAAATTTAAAAAGAAAGCCTCCTTTAAGTGCGGAATTTCTCCCATTCTTTTTTTAAAAATAAGCTAGTTAGGCACTCTTTACTGCCTAGACAGAAAGCATGACTCTACTCACCATGTACCTTATTTGGGGAGACCTTCTTTCAATTATTAGAGTCTGGAGAAAAGAAAATAAGGATCTGTCACAAGTGTTACCACTTCCTGTATACCTCTGTCCAAATAGATCTCTTAATCTTCTTCTTTAGTTTTCTTTCCTCTTAGCTCTTGTCCATAGACATGGTGGGCACCCTCATTAGAAAGTAAACCAAAGGAGTTTGAGCAGTGTAGAAGTGGGATGCCCAGAAGAGGGCAATAAGAAAATTCTGCACACACTTTTTAATCTTGCCGTTTTCTGTTCTCTCTTCCACATCAAGTCTGGATCGCCATATGCAAACCCACCACGGACACCATAAACCATTCCGATGCAAACTCTGCTCCTTCAAGTCCTCCTATAACAGCCGGCTGAAAACACATATACTCAAAGCACATGCTGGTGAGTTGGTATTCCGGGGTTCACAAGTTTTTCCATAGTTTGAAATGTGTAATCTGGTTGTCTTTATTGAATGAAATTCTTAAAATACCTTGCCCTACACATGAGCAATTATTATTGAGATAGTTACAGGGCAATTTTATATTTATCTATTAAAGAAACCTGCTGCTGTGCCAGCCCGCCCACAGGGCTCACTGAGACAGCGACTGAGACTGGACATGGCGGCGCACGCCTGTAATCCCAGCTCTTGGGAAGCTGTAAGCAGGTAGATCATATGAGTCTGATCTAGTATTGAGACCCTGAACACCCTATGGGCCCTTCCCTAAAAAAAAAAAAAAAAAAAGAAAAAAGAGAAAGAAAGAAACCTGAAAAAAAAAAAAAAAAGGACAGATTTAAAAACAGTTACTTAAAGTCAAAATAATCGTGTATGTCATGTTTGATTCATGCTACTAAGATACTAAAAGTAGACTGTTTCTGAATTACTTAGCCTTGTTAATCAATTTGTGGAGTTGTTATATAAAGATAATACTCAACTAAGATACGGTTATAATTTTAAGTGATTTGAAAGGACAAAGAACTTAAGGTGCATGAGATTTCTCGAGAGATGCCCATAAATAAGTCATTTCTTTAACTTTGGATGCCGAGTATCCAGCAGGTATGCTGGTCCCTAACCTGTCATCTTCCACCTTACTGTGCTCACTTATAGACATCCCTTACCTAAGGCTCTGCACTAGACATGTTACAGGGATTATCTTATTCAGATCTCATGATAATCCTAAAGGGTAGATACTATGTAATTTCTCTTATACCCTCTAAGGTACATTCTCACACTTTGAACAATGTTGTAAAAACTGCCCAGAGCCTGGGTCATTCATGTTTTGTTTGGCACCTGCTGTTACGTCATACAAATAGGACCATGTCTATTTAGTATCTCCTAAGTGGTGAGCCTGTGACACTCACTTACTACCGTAAAACTAATCCAATCTCCCAACCATCCTAGTGCCCCTGGGACCCAAGATGAAACAGGGAAATCAGCTGTATGGCCTTTGTTCTGTTAAGTATGTTTATGTCTTTAATTTTAAGGACTATGGAATCAGTGGAATCAGAATTTAACCCATGGTATTGTAAATTATTCAGCTGGGACAGCATCCTGATAAGATTTTTTTCCCCTAGGCCTCAGCCTTGTCAAAAGCACTTTTACCAGTTGGGAACTGGGTGAATGATTTGGCCTGTGGGAAGGACTTTGAAGAGTGGTAGAGGTGCACGTTGACTCCAGGGTGCTAAGCTAAAGTGTATGCTCTTGGAACTGACCAAGGTGACTGGCCTCCCTGTGCTCACTGTCTGGCAAGGAGGAAAGAGACAATGGGAGCAGTGTAATTTCACTTTTCATACTTTGGAACCTTGGTCTCCGTGATAAGGCTCTGAGCCACTGAGAGAAACTTGGCTTGGACAAAGCCCAGTGCATTTTCTAAAAGTCCCTTAACTCATCTTATCTATTTTAAGTGGGCTATTTGGTATATTCTAGGATGAACAATAGTGTGAAAGCATCAAATAATCTAGATTTAAATTTTTTCTCAGGTTGTGGGACTCACAGTCACCCAACAGATTTATACAATCATGTCTGCACTTAAAAACAAGGGCCGGGGAGATGGCTCAGTGGCATAAGCGCTTCCCTGGCAAATACAGGGTCTGAGTTCAACCCCCGGTTCTGCCAAAAAAAAAAAAAAAAATAGGGGGTCCAGTAAGATAGCTCAGTCATCTAAAGTGCCTGCGTAGGAAAGCTTAGGCAGGTGCAAGGGACCGCAATTCAATCCTCAGCACCATATGCTGCACCAGCCCCCGCCCTCAGGGTAGGCTGAGCTGGCCAAAAAAAAAAAAAAAAAAAATAGAGCTGGGGAGATAGCTCAGGGGTCTAAGCACCTGCCTGGCAAATGCAAGGACCTGTTTTCAATCCCTAGTACCACATGCCGTGCTGTGCTTGTCCCAGAAGTCTGGGTACACTGTGCCAGCCACCTAAATCATGTGTAATGGTGCATGCCTGTAACCCCAGTGCTGGGAAAGCTGAGACAGGAGGATCACTATGAGTCTGAGCTGCATAGTGAGACCCTGTGTCAAATAAATAAATAAATGATTCAAAACAACAACAAATAATGTAAGTGCAGTACATTAGTGGATACCATTGTCCACCACCAGGCATTAGTGTCTAGCTTCTTCGCAGTGGGTAAGAGCACAGATGAATAGAGTTTATGTCTGTATCCCCTGACTTTGTGTGTGTGTCTTTTGGAGACAAGATCTAGCTATACAGCTCCGACTGGCAGTGAATTCACTTTGCAGCCCAGGATAGCCTCAAACTCACCGTGATTCTCCTGCCTCAGCCTCCCAAGTTCTGGGATTACAGACCTGTCCACCAGGCCCAGCTCTGTATTCCCGGAGTTTAACCTTCTTTCCTTATGCTGTAGAATGATGTATAAGCCAAGCTTTTCCAGATTGTCATGGAAATGCAGGCTCAGGGAGTCCTCCATGGTGCAGAGGATTAATTGTTGAACTTGGGTGCTGAGCTCATCAGGAGTTTGTTGGGGGTGGAGAAGTAACTGTTTCACCTGGATTGAGCAAGGGCAGGATTATCTCTGTGTTTCACTTTCACCTTCATCTGCACACCACCAGCTCTGCCCATGTATTTTCACCATCCCACAGGACTGTCATGACCAAAGATCCTGTTTTCTCTTCTTCCTCCTCTGATTTTAAAATTTCTACCCACACATACATTTTTAAAATGCATATTTATTAGAGAACATTTGAAAATAAAATACTTAGTTCGTAATTATTACCTAAAGACCACTGTTGTTAACATTCAGTATTTCCTTTCAACCATTTTCTCTATAATTATGTTTTGCCATTCTATGTATTTTTAGTTTTCTGTGTAATTACATACTCTTTAAGAATCTAATTTAATGGTAGTTTATCAAGAAAATTTATTTCTTTATAGCTCAGTAGTACTCCAGTATATAAAAACACCACATCTTTTTTATCTATTCCTTGGTTCATGGGCATTTGGGTTGTTTACAAGTTTTACTTCCTACAAATTGTGCTGCTATAAACATGGGTGCACATATAGCACTGTGGCATGATGTTTTTGATTCTTCTGGAAAAATACCCAGCAGGGGAATAGCTGAGTGAAATGGGAACTCTGATCCTAATTTTTTGAGGACTCTCCACATTGGATTCCATAGTGGTTGCACCAGTCTACACTCCCACCAACAGTGGAGAAGGGGTCCTTTTTCCCACAGCCCCTCCAGCATTGTTATTGGTTGTCGCTTGATGACAGGCGTTCTTTCTGGGGTGAGACAGAATCTCAGTGTTGTTTCAATTTGCATTTCTTGAATGAACAATGATGTTGAACATTTTTTCATATATTTATTTGCCATTTGTATTTCTTCATCTGAGACGTGTATTCTTCTCAAGTGCTTTTTCTGAATTGGCTCTTCATTGAATGGAACAGTTAGTGCTAATATTGTTTGATCAATTTTACATACCTACATCTTATAATCTGAGCAACTACTTTGAAGATAACATGTCATATAATAACCATTGATAGGGCCGGGGAGATGGCTCAGTGGAATAAGTGCTTCCCTGGCAAGCGTGAGGGCCTGAGTTCAATCTCCGGTTCTACAAAAAAAAAAAAAAAAAAAATTAATTTTCTATTATCTTGTTTTGAAATCTTGTATCTTTTTTCTCACTTTAAAAAAAAAAAGATATACATACATTTACTTAGTCTTTTCCTTATGTTAAAAATTTAGGTTATTAAGGTCCAACAAGGTAGCTCAGTGGATTAAGTGCCTGTTTAGGCAAGCACAGGGACTGGGGTTTGATCCCTGGCACAACATTCCACGCTAGCTCCTCCCCCTGGTGTGTTGTGTAATGAGACCCTATATCAAATACGTTTTAAAGGATAGGTTGTTTTATCCCCTTTTAAGCATAGTGTAAATTTCTCAAAAAGATCCTCTGTATTAAAAAATATTTTCTTACTAGAGACTCTCAGAAATAAAATAATGGAATTGTTGCTAAATTGTTTCTGTTGTTACAGAAAGCACAATTTTCTTCCAAAGTGATCATCCAGTGTATATCCAGCAACATGCACATGCCCAGTACCTATTCTTAAATCTTAAAATATCAGAAATTTAAAGTGGAATCATGACAAAGGTACATCACACTATTGTCTCAATTTGGTCATGGTGATCAGTGTTGCATTTTAAGTATACCTTCTCCATTTTTAAAAAACATTGACAACATACATCCCCCTTGTGTGTACAGTAAGCCCTTCCATTAAAGAAATGACTTACTTTGACCTATTTCTGTGCTGTTGATTAGATGGGTAAGTGAAATCTTATGATTAGGTTTCTGAGTTATATGCATATGTGCGTGTGTGCATGCATGTTGGCCTTATATGACAGAATTGTACAGTAGACTTTGCCAATAATGACTATGTCTGGAAAAGCTATCAGGAGATCTTTGCAGTAAGAATTAAGTGCATTATTCTCTATACTTAAATGCAACATGGCATGGTGAATTTTAGTATGAAGAGGTAGAAAAGGGGTTGGGAAACCTTACAAAGAGTTAACAGAGGCAGGTGTGTGGAGAATCATTTCCAAACTTCATCTCTACAAGTAGAACATGAGATGAACAGTGACCTTGTCATGAGATTATGGAGCATGTGGAAAAGTCTCATCTATAGAAGGCCTTGTGTTTGGGATAATGGGCAGGTGGCTAACCTCTAAGGCTTCTAGACCGTGAAGCTTGGGAAGCTTGTCTCTCCAGTGAATTAACTGTATTATTTTGTTTTCCACCCCCCACCTTCTCTTCCCTATACTGTTTCCTGTCTGGACCCTTTGCCACTGTTCCTTCTAGGTGAACATGCCTACAAGTGTTCTTGGTGCTCCTTTTCTACCATGACAATCAGCCAGTTGAAGGAACACTCCCTCAAGGTCCATGGAAAAGCCCTGACCCTCCCCAGGCCACGAATTGTCAGCCTCCTCTCCTCACATGCCCATCACTCCTCTCAAAAGGCTTCCCCAGCCGAAGAAGTAGAAGACTCCAATGGTAAAAATGGGCTCCTGAGCCTCACTTAGGGCTGGGGAGGGCTGGGCTAAGTTGTCTTACTGTTTCTAGAGTCAACTGGGATCAGTAGTCTTTACTCTTTTAGAAGAACACATTATATGAAAATATGACAGCTCAAGTAAAAGAAGAAAGGTGCAAGGGTTGAGACAATCTTGGATGTAGAGTAGAAGGGGAGAATGCTAAGCATATGTCAGATGGCTTCGTGGAAAAACTCCGTGGTACTAGGGGAGCATCACCTATGGAAGGAGTGCCTAGTTGGGAATAGGATGCATCAGTTTGGGATTCTTCTACTGTGGGTTCAAGCAAGAGCAAGCCAGGACTGAAGTCACAGGCAGTTATTTTTCTATTTGCTTGTTTTCATTTGTATCTTGTCTTGGGCAAACATTTTTTGTGAGGTGTTTGGCCTTTCATATGTGTAGGTTATTTCCACTATTCTCAGAGTAGGAAGGAGAAGGGCTAAGGAGCTGGGTGATCTGTCTGAGCAGGTCATGTGAGGTGTCAAGTGTACCATAATGATTTTTTTTTTTAGAGCTGAAGGATGTTGAGTAAGCATTAGTTGGGAGGAGGGTTTAACTGTCCAGTCTTGCAGTTTCAAAAGAAATACAGGAAAATGTGGAGAGATTTGCTCATGGGCAATGTGACTCTAGCCTGTGCAGGCATGGTATGATGAACAAAGAGAGAGTTTATTGTTTTCATCAGACCAGGAAACAGACCTGTTTTAAGCACTTAGCTCACCTCAGATGACTGCTGAATCAGAGACTTAAGAGAGAAAGGATGAAGTCTGTGGATCCTGAAGTTGTGAAAGAGCTTGGAGCTGTTTCCCTCCAGCTCCTTCCAAGTGCTTGAATCCCTTCTGTCTGCAGTGTCTCATAACCAGTCATTCCCACCAGCTTACATACATCCTAGCTCAGGTTATTGGCTGTTACCAAGGTCCACTGTTCCATTCTTGGAAGTAGATTGGTGGATAGGAGAGAATGTAGAATGAAAAGTTGGATTTGGATCTTCTCACAATGCTAGGTATATTTTCTTGAGCAGTTTTAGCTTCCTAAATCTGTATGTGAAGTTAGATAATGTTATCTACCTTAGTGGATTGTCTTGGCAGATTAATGAGGAAATAGTGATATGCAGAATGCCTATTGTAACATCTGACACATAGGAAGTATTTTATAATGGTCATTTTGTTTCTATGGTTTTCATTCTTTGCAGTTCTGGCCTATGGGGACCGTTAGAGGAAGTATAAAATTTGGCTAATTTTTAATATAACGTTTAAGCTGAAAAACTTCAGGTAACCTCACAGTCTTATGGTCCAACTTGTCAACATGATCTAATTCTCCTATTAACAAAACAGTGAATGAGTAAACTTTATCCACAAGGTCTATGAGTCAGAAAAAATGTCAGGTAAGTCCTGAGATGAAAACATATCTTTATTGAGTTGTAGTGCTTGGTAGCTATTCCTTGCAAAGTATTATATATAATATCAAGCACTGTAGCTCTTTAAAGCTCTCCTGTCTTGAAGGATTCAAGCCTATGGCCAAGTGAAACTATTTGTGAAAGGGTTAAAAAAAAAAATGCACACTTTATACCTTGAGATTCTATCCATTGGGGAAGAGATTGTGGTACTAAAACCAGAGGGCACAATCTACTATGACCCAAATTGTAAGGTATTTAGCAAAGTGACTCTTAATTGTTTTCAACTCAACTGTGTAGCATTTTCACAGAAATGGATACACTATATTCAAGCACCATTCCTGGGGCATTTCTGTGTCCCCTTCTTTGACCTTCTCCCTTGAAAGTTGGATCTCAGATTAGGACAAGAGAATCACTACTCTAGATACCTCACTATGTGGATCACTTTTCTCAGTGGAGGCAAAAAAGAGTTGAGTCCTACCAACTCTCTGAGCCTACACTCTGCCCAAAGCTTGAACAGGCCCAAAACAATGAGAACCAATTCAGTACTGCCCTGGCCCTCCAGTCCCATAAAATGAAATGTTTAAAAAGATATTATCAGCACTCATATCTGAGCTAACCACAACCCCAAGTTTGAGGTCTAATCTTTTTTTGGGAGTTGACCTCAGATTCTTAGAAGCTGGACTGTGGAGTGTGGTGAGTTTCACAGAAACACAACAGCGTAACTCTCTGTATGACACAGCCAAACTTTGCTTAGCCATGGGAAGATAATTTTAAAACACAGTAACTGGGCGCTAACCATGGCCTACACAAAAGCCAATGGACCTGTTTTAACATAAAGAAATAAGCAAATCAAAGCAGCAAGAATGCTTAGTTTAATTTTATGACTAAAGAGTTGATTAGAAGGTGGAGTAAATAGAAACAAAGCATCAAATTGGGTGTTGAAGGAATAATTTTGTGAAAAGAATAAATAATATTTTACTTATTCAGTAAGCTTTTTTTTCCTCTTTTTGAGTCTTTACCAAAGCTCTTGTGTTGTTTTGCATGGCCAGATATGACTGAGGAGGGGCCATGCTTAAGAGGACTATTTGCCAAGGAGCTGGATGGTGGATTCCTAGAAACAGCTCAGTTTGGAGGATGGAAAAACAGCTGTGGGGCTAGACAGTAGCCTGTAAATCATGCTTTGAATGGTGTTTGAAACACACATGTGAAATCCAATTGCACATTTTAATGGAGAGAAGCTGTGGGGCTGTTGGCGCTCAGTTAAGGTTTCCCACACTGCAGATGCCAGGACACTGTGAACACACAAACCAAAAATGTGTTGCAGGCCTGGGGGAGTCGGAATTCATAAAACCAGGGAAATCACCAGTGCATCCTTGGCTTTCTGAATCCCCAGTGAGGGATGTGAATAAAATGAGTTGACATGCTCGCTGTGCTTTGCAGTTGCAGTGGTCAAATGCTTGTTGTCTTGAGAGCCAGCCAGCCCTTTCTGGCAGAAGGAAGGAGCCCAACTGGGAGGCTCTTCCTATGCTGTTCTCCTCCCAACCCAGGGGAAAGCTTGCCAGCAAGAGCAAAGCTGAGGAGGCAGCCACGGGAAGGTGGAGGGCAGGTCTGATTCAGGCTGCCTGGCCACACACCTGTTCTGTACTTCAGCGGAGCTCCTGGGCCCTGAGCTGTCAGTCTTGACATGTTTCACCAGCACACGAATCCTCTATGTATTCTTCATGATCAGTTGTAGAAAGAAAAGCAGTGGCTGTATGGGATTGGTTTTGTGTATAGGATAATGGGAAATGACATGTAATTGCTATTCAAAACAATGCATTAAGCGGAGACAATGAGGTTGTCAACAAAGGGAAGAGCTCTACTGTGTTTGTGTTTACTGTGTTCTTTCTCCTGCCATACAAAAGTAGGACTGGCTTTTATCAGGCTGTTTCCAACTCTCTGCTTTCAATACAGAAAAGTACACATCTACACACAGCTATAAAATAACAAAGGACCTAGGACAGCAGAGTTTAACTGTAAAAATTTGTTTAGGTCTGAAGAACTGCACAAGACGTGGGCAATGGACATGTAATTTAAGTTTCAGCTATATACATTATAAGGTGTCAAGCCGGTGCTGACATTCCCTCTTTTCCTGCCCTCAAATTTCCCTCAACAAAAACCTTTTCATTTGTTATGCTGCATGGAATTGTCAGCCATAGTGACTACTACTACGGCGCGTTCAAAGCAGCGGTGAAAAAATCAGATACCAAGAGTAGGTGTAAAATCAATAAGGTAAATGAGAGTTTTTGCCCATGCCCTACATAGCAACCTAGAGAAAACACAAAGACATCTGGGCGTGGTGTCTTTCCTTTACAATACAGATCTCAGCTGAGTTCACCCAACAGAAATGTCTAATAGAAATTAAAAGAAAAATGTTGTGTGTGATATCATTGTTACAACTTTTCAGTTGCCTTTTCTGAGCACTTCAATAATATTTGATGAACACTACTTTTGTGAAGACACTGCTTATTGTGAAACCACAGACATTTGTGATCTCAAAGTCAAAGTCCTGCACACCATACACAGTGTTGACCATTTAGCTGTTCTTCTCCCATTGCAGAGGGGCTTAAGGCCTGTTTCCTCCCATCTCAGCTCTTGTTACCCTCAGGTTCTTCATCATCACTTAAACACTGTTGATAAGGTCTTCTGGGAGCTTAGAAAGATTTCCTACCTGTCTGCTTCTTTCAACACATTAATGCATTTCACTTCCTTCAAAGACTGGTTTGGTGTTTTTTTTTTTTTTTTTTTTTTTTTTTTTTTTTTTTTTTTTTTTTTATTGTTCCCAACCCTATTTTTATTGCTCTTCTATCACTGTTCTTCGGGCTTTATTTGTACTTAGAGATACACTCTTTCTCGTGCCCTCTAATTTTTCCAGTGGTAGTAGTGAGGTCGATTCTTAGAAAATACTGTGTTCTTTTACTAGATCAGTACTCGGTTAGAGACACCTCAACTTTTCAACTCAGCTGAGTTTACAGAATTCCTAAACTTAGTTAGCTCCATAGAACCACATTTGTCCAAGGATAAGCTTGTCCCTCTTTGATTTAAGTGGTACTTTCAAAAGACAGACAGTCTGAAAGTGAACCCTTAGGGAATGTTCTAACAGAAACTTAGTGACAAAGTTATTCTGCCAAGGTGAGAAGATCTTCCGTAACCTAGGGAGTAAATGTTGCCATTACCGTCTGGGCAATGAGACATTCTGTGATGGTGGGAAAATGAAGGTTGAGACAGCTGTAAATCTGCCAGCCCTCAGAGGGAGGTGGATCTGTGGTGGTTATGGAGAAATAGACACAGCTAGCAGGGCCGCTGGAACCACCGCACACAATCACTGATGCCAGGGGAAGCCAATGTGTTCTTCTATCTTCGTCAAAAGAATTTACAGCCAGGCGGGGTGGTGCATGTTTGTAATCCCGTCACTCTCAGGAGGCTGAGGCAGGAGGGTTGTTGTGAGTTACTACAAAGTAAGTAGTAGTTGTGAGCTTACTACAAAGTAAGCTCAAGGCCAGCCTGAACTGTATAGGGAACACACACACACA